CTAGGCTCAAAAGGTCCTCCCACCTCAGCCTCCCAAGTAGTTAGGACTATAGACACACCACCGAGACTGGCTAATTTTTAAATTTTTTATAGAGATGAAGTCTCACCATGTTGCCCAGGCTCATCTCAAATTCCTGGACTCAAGTAATCCTGCCACCTTGGCCTTCCAAAGTGCTAGGATTACAGGTGTGGGCCACCACACCTGGCAGATATTTCATATTAACTATGAGAATATAGACATACAATATATCTTTGACAGTATATTGTATCGATCATGCATGGAAATGATAAAAACATTATCTTTCCAAACACTAATTTACCTTGTCAAACAAATTATAAGCAGGGGGTGGTGAAAATACACTCCTCCACCCAGGTCTAGTGTGCCTATAGGACAAATTATGATTTCGCAAGCCTGCAGTACTGCAATTCAATATCTCTTTAAAACAAATATTGGGCAAAATGATTCATTTAGAATTTGCAGCAACATGAAAGGTGAGTGGTTGAACATATTAATATAATCAAGCCTGTTAATTATCTCTACACACTTTTTGAAGAAACATTTAATAAAACAATTTCTAATTGATTCACACACTCAAATAACAGAGGGTAATATCTGAAAAAGTCACAGGTATTCCCTTTTTTAAATTCTTTTTTTTTTTTATTCTTTTTATCTCAAACTACCAAATGTTACTGAAATTCTTACTCTCTACAAAGGATTCTCGAATAACACTATCTTTTTTTTTTTTTGAGATAGAGTCTCACTCTGTTGCCAAGGTTTGAGTGCAGTGGTGCAATATGGGCTCACTGTAACCTCTGCCTCCCAGGCTCAAGTAATTCTCATGCCTCAGCCTCCCAAGTAACTAGGGCTACAGGTGCAAGCCATCATGCCTGGCTAATTTTTTGTATTTTTTGTAGGGACGGGGTTTCACCATGTTGGCCAGGTTGGTCTCAAACTCCTTACCTCAAGCTATCTGCCCATCTCAGCCTCCCAATGTGCTAAGATTACAGGCATGAGCCACTGTGCCTGAACAACACTATCATTACACTGAAAGATCACTTAGTATGAACAGCTGCTCATCCTTATGACCTATGATGAACTAAAATTAATCATCAGCACACTGTTGACTCAAATTTAACTCTTAAAAATGAAATTCTTCCAACCAAAAGATTTCTTTTCAACCAGCTTCTACAATGCATACTAGAAGTTGACTAAATGCCCTGCAAAGACTACAATCTAAATCACATGCGGTGAAAAGCTCAACCACTGGTTATTTTGTACCATAGGAGATGAGGACATGGCCACCAAGACCAGGTTTCACCTCAATTCTTAAATTATGACTCATCTCAGTAATGACCCAATGGTTCCTCTGGCATGACCTCCACAACACCATGCTTAGGAATACTTGCAATGGGATGAGCATTTGCATCTCAAAGCATACAAGCTACTGTCTTTTTGTTTTATTTTGCTTTTTGAGACAGGATCTCGCTCTGTTAGCCAGGCTGGAATGTGTGGGTACAATCATAGCTCACTGATCCTAGCTCACTGCAGCCTCCATTTCTCTAGCTCAAGCAATCCTCTCGCCTCCGCCTCTTCAGTAGCTGGGACTACAGGCGTGCACCACCACACCTAGCTAATTTTTTTGTTTGTTTGTTTGTTTAGTAGAGACTACATCTCCCTGTGTGGCACAGGTTGGTCTTGAGCTCAGGCAATCCTCCCACGTCCGCCCCCCAAAGTGCTGGGACTACAGGGGTGAAGCACTCTATTGTCTTTAACAGTTAACACTATACCTCAACCAAACAGTATAACTGCTCTCACAAGGGCCCAAATGAAAATGCCCAATAAAAAATATTTATCTAACTTTTAAATGTTTCCCATTAAAACATGTCACTTATAGAAATAAATTGACTTTTTAGTTTGAACAAAATAAAATATCTGTGTATCATAAATGTTAAAAGCATTTGCTGCTATCAATCTGGCTTTAGCATTCTAAGAAATCAAAAAGCAGGTATAACTGTAGCCCAGTGCTTATGCCTGAAAAAGTTTATGTGCACATTTTGCACAAGATCAGGTGGACACAAGTTGAGAGTACCACACAATTACTGAGGGATTCGATACTTTTGGCAGAGGGAATAAGTGGGCAGCAAGTCATGATTTGCCTATGCTAGACCGCCCCAAAAAATCTGTTTACTGTTCGAATTTATGTTAAAACCATCCTCTCACTTAGTGAGGTCATGGAATTCTGGAGTTGGAAGGCATGTCCAGGACAAAATAGCTAATCACCCTGGCCTTACCAGACTGAGGTCCTGAAAGAATAACTGACTTGCCTTGATTGTTGGTTGATGGCAGAGATTGGACTACAACTCAAATTTAAGGAGCTTTTAAATAAGCCAGACTGCCAATGTCATGGAAAGGAGCCCTTTCCTGCTGGCCTCTGATTTCTTCAAAGTTCTCCCTTCCACCCACTTCACAGGTGAAAGTGACTTGCCTGCTCCCTTTCTGTGTATTGGCACTGTCTTCCACTACTTCCCACACAGTTAACAGAATTCCCCAACGTAAGGATACTTCATTGACAATCCCTAAGAGAATATTATCTGGGGACAGTTTCCAAAATCATGCTCGCTAAGCTCGAACAACCTCAACAAGACAACTTTTTTAAATAAAATGTTAAGGAAATTAGAAGAAATACAGAAAAGAGTTCTTAAAATTAAATCTTGTAGTTGAAACAATTAAAGGGTCCTTTCCAGTCCAATACTCTGACAACTCAGTTATTAACAAAATGCTCTTAAAGTATGAATACTAAGTGTGAATAAGGACGGAGATCTCAACAACACATGTAGGGTGACTGAGAATTGTTCCGGAGGCTACGGGAGGCAAAGATTGGTATTATCACACTAGCAAGTAAGTGACAGGTGCACTTCCCACTCTTTAGAAGGTGCGCAGCCTTAAACCCTCCCCTGAAGAGGCCAGAAGGACTCAATAAGCCCTGGAATCGAGTACAGCGAATTCGCTCTGAGGGTCCGCGGAGGCCAGACGGAGGAAGAGAAGCCCCGGACCCGCCTTCTCCGCAGCCTCCTGCCTAAGCCCCTCCAAGCCCCCCGCCTCTCCCTTCTTCCCTCATCACGCGAGCCCCCATACCTGTGAGATAGTTGGTCCACTTGTACAAAACCCCCTCCATGCTTCAGAGCCCCACACCGCGCATCCTCCCGGCCCGGCGCCAGCCGCGGTGATGGGGTAGGCGCGGGGCCTGGGGCAGCCACTCCCGGCCCGCCCGGGCCCCCTCCCCGGAGCCCGCCGCCTGCACGAAGCCGCCCTCTGCCTGCGCGCGCCGCCGGGACGTGGCGGCCTTAGAGGCCGGGACAGCTGGCGCCGCGTGGAGCTCGGGGGCCGCGAGGCGCGGGCCCAGACATCCCGGAGTAAGCCTCGGCGGCGGCGGCCGCGACAACGGCAAAAATGCGACCGAGACCGGCCTCCTGCTCGCGCTTCCGCGGCCCGGCGCTGCCTCCTCCTCGCCTGCCTTCCTTCCCCCCGGGCTCCCCGTTTGTTTTCATTGACCCCGACGTCGCTTTCACTTCCTGGATGAAAGGGGCCGGATCGTCCCGGGAAACCCCTCCCCGGCGGCGGGGCTGAAGGAGCGGGCGCGGCCTGCGGCCTCGCCGCCTAGCCGGAGGCTGCGTGAGGAGGGCGGACCTGCGCGTCGCACCCTCGGCCTGCCAGCTAGGGCAGCCCTTCTCCTCTCACGGGCCCAGGGCCAACAGTCCCGAGGCTCCCTAGTCTCCCCCTGGCCGCCAAGGCCCAGGCCGACCGCCCCCGGGGGCCGAGGCCTTCGGGCTCCACTGCGCGCGCAGCCCCGGTGCCCACCCGAGGAGGTGCTCCCCGCACACTCATCCCTCGGGCGCTTAGTTCTCTCGGGTTTTCCTGGGTTGTTTTTTTTTTTCTGAAAAAATACATAATATCCTGTTTTTTCATAAAATCTTGTTTTTTCTGAAAAAATAAAAGCCTTCCTATTTCTGTTTGCTTCGTATTTTCCTCATATTCAAGGGGTCTGAAATTATCTCCTATGAAGGCAATGTGCAACAGACGGGGTCCTCTGACAAGGAATGGCGAGGGTCCCCCAAGGAACTGTCATCACGCCGATAATTAACCTTGGATAGCCACAATTTTATTTAGAATATAAAACATGGAACTTGACTTTGGAATTTTATTCTAGAAAGGGGGACTTCCCCCTAGCTTTTATGATTTTTGAAACTCCTGCTTGGACGCAATCGTCATCTTGCATAATCGACAGTAATTTTCAGGTTTATGGAATTTTGCAAACTTTAAGCAAAGCACATCAATCGGGCTCAGTGCTGCGGCTTTTCTTCGCATCACCCAGGTGGAATAGCACCTCTACTCCCAGAACTTAATCCAGGCGAATGCAAAAGGCCTTTGCTGGTTTTCTGGTTTGGGTAGTCTTTGGGTATTCACTTGGAAACAAGGCGAATTGATGGAGGAAAGAGTGATGGATGGATATATAATATAATTCAATGACAGGATCTAGGCGGTGGGTGTACGAGTGTTTACTGTAAAATTCAATTTTTCTGTGTATTTTAAAGGTTTTCATACTAAAATTGGTGGGGGGGGGGTGTGGTCACACAGATTTCACCAAAAACCAGCTGCGTATTAGCTGTGAGATTAGGGAAAAAATGCCCAATACTCAAGTTTTCTTGACTGATGTGGAAAATTACGTATCCCAAGGGATTGGTACAAAAAAGTCAAAAGGACATTCCCCGCACTACCAGAGGCCCTCTAATCAAGGGCGGCCCCGAGTGGCGGGGGAAAGAAATGCAAGCCAGCGGCGGACGCTGAATCCTGGAGGTCGGCTCTCGGAAATGCCTGCAGCCAGGCGGAGGAGCTGCTGCACCGCAGTTTCGTCGCGTCGGGCTGGTCTTCAGGTTGTGCGACTCAGCCTGGAACTTCTGAATGCAAGACTCCGACCTGAGGATTCGCTTCAAGGACACCCCAGAAGCACCCGGAAAGCCACCGCCAGCCTATTTTTTACGCTCCTTTTCCAGCATGCTTCTTCCTCCCCCCAGTATCTATCTGCTGGTTCCCTAGGGGTCTTAGAAGTCTTTTGCTTCCACAAATGACAACCATATTCCTTGACTCTACGACATCCCTAGCTGTTTATTTCGTCTTATGCCAGTTCCATTTTAGAAATGCGAATGTTGTCACCGAACCCTGAGGAAACCGGCTGTAAAATATGCGGGTTTAGCGAGAAGAAGCGGAGCGAGGGTGCGGTGCAATCTTAGAGACTGAGAACAGCCAGCCTGGGGGCCTAGAAACAGCGTTAACCGCGCTGAGCCCGCTGCCCGAGGAGGAGGGGTTGGGCCTGTGAGAGGGCAGGGCCGCGTCTATGGCCCAGCCCCGGCCCTTTGTGACAGTGTCCAACGCCTGCCACGCGTCGGAACTCGGCGCGGGGCATCCAAGGGGCGCGAGTGACACGCGGGAGGGAGAGCGGTGTTCTGCTGGAGCCGATGCCAGAAACCATGCATTTCTTATTCAGATTCATTGTTTTCTTTTATCTATGGGGCCTTTTTACTGCTCAGAGACAAAAGAAAGAGGAGAGCACCGAAGAAGTGAAAATAGAAGTTTTGCATCGTCCAGAAAACTGCTCTAAGACAAGCAAGAAGGGAGACCTACTAAATGCCCATTATGACGGCTACCTGGCTAAAGACGGGTCGAAATTCTACTGCAGGTAGGAAATGCTGCGAGCTGCCCACGCGTCCAGTTGCACAAAATCTTGCCTGCCTCCACCAAGCGTAAGCCTTTTTGGTTGGTTGGTTGGTTGGGGTTTTATTTTTTAACAGTAAAAGTTGAGCCCTTTATTCATTAAATATATATATATATAATATATATATGTGGCTCTCTAATAAACTGAATATTTCTATTTAAAGTATTGAAAATGTTGGTCCAATAAATTATCGAAAATACAGTACATCCACACACACACCAACCACTACCATTACCTTTAATTCTGGGACCTCCAGAATTAAATCAAGGTTCTGCCCATAAGGATGTTCACATTTTTCCCTTGCCGGAAGTATTGAGTCTTTACGGAGGAATACATGGAATAAAGAGATTTAACTCTGGCCTTCAGAAGCACGATTTTTATAGGTTGTGGCCACTTTCTATCAAGAAAAACCGTTACTTCCCTGGTGACTTCTGGTGGGCCCTGCTCCCCCATTCCACCTGGTGCCTACTCTGATTTAATTGATGGCTTATTACTCAGAGGGAGAATCTTTTCTTCATCCTGTAAAGATAGGACTGGGTAAGATAGTTCCATCCATTTACAATAAAATAGAGAAATTTAATAAGAATTTATACAGTTTTTAAATTTAATATTATATTAGGATTTAATAAGCATATAGACTATATTACTAGAATTTAATAAGAAAATATACCATTTTAAATTACTTTTAAAATGACTTTTTGAGGCTAAACCTGCCTCATCATTTTTTACAACACACTCAGGGGAGTTAAATGAGTTCTTTGTACAAGCCATGCAGCTAGTTAGGGGATGGAGACCCATTAAAAAGTTAACTGTTGAATAGGTTTTGTAAAGATAACAATTTTAAAAAATGAGATGGCTCTTAATGATTAGCTTTGGGCAAATCATACTTCTTTCTGGTAATTATAGGGAAGTTTGAGTCAAACACCCCGTTAGGGGTTTTAGAAAGAGTGCTTATACAGGAATGATGGTTAGAGAGGACTCCAATTTTAAATGCCCAGCTGTATTTTCAAGTTTGATTTCTTGAAATCAGTTTATTTAAGTATTGTTTTTTATTATAGCCGGACACAAAATGAAGGCCACCCCAAATGGTTTGTTCTTGGTGTTGGGCAAGTGATAAAAGGCCTAGACATTGCTATGATGGATATGTGCCCTGGAGAAAAGCGAAAAGTAGTTATACCCCCTTCATTTGCATATGGAAAGGAAGGCCATGGTAAGATGTTTAATTTTAATTTCTTGTTTTAGTTATATTTAAAAAATGATTAGTAGATTTCTGGGTATGTAGGTCTGAAAGAATTGAAAGCCCAGTCTCAAAAAGAAATATTTGTACAGCCATGCTCATAGCAGCCATGTACAGTAGACAAGAGATGGAAGCAAGCCACATGTCCATAGATGATAGAGAAATGGATAAACAAAATGAATATATGCGTATATGGAAGCCAGGCACAGTGGCTCACACCTGTAATCCCAACAGTTTGGGAGGCCAAGTTGGTAGGATCGCTTGAGGCCAGGACCAGCCTGAGCAACAGCAAGACCCTGCTCTTCAAAAAAAAAAAAAAAAAAAAAAAAATGAAATGGAATATTATTCAGCCTTAAAAAGGAAGAAAATTCTGAGACATTCACCAACATGTATCAGCCTTGAGGACATTATGCTAAATGAAATAAAGCAGTCACAAAAAGATAAATACTGTATAATTCCACTTATATGAGGTACCTAGAGTAGTCAAATTAATAGAGACAAAGTAGAAGGGTGATTGCCAGAGGCTGAAGTGAGAGGGAAAAGGGGGAGTGTTGACCAATGGGTATAGAGTTTCAGTATTGCCAGAGGAAGAGTTCTGGAGATTGGTTGCACGGCAGCATAAATGTACTTTACTGAACAACACACTTGAAAATCGTTATGATGGTAAATTTTATGTTATGTGAATTTTACCACAATTAAAAACAAAAAAAGTAAAATAAATAAAAAATGATAGATGAAATAAAGAGAACAGTTGAGTCCAATGACCTTAAGCTCTATCTAGTTCAGTCCATTCCCCTCTTTTTGTTTATAAAGATAACATGACATTGTTATAGATATCTGGCCAGAGTTCTTTCTTCTACATTGTTGCAACACTCATGATGATTCTGTGTATTCTATAAGCTCTATCTTAAGCATTTTTTTTTGAGATGGAGTCTCGCTCTGTGGCCCAGGCTGGAGTGTAGTGGCACGATCTCGGCTCACTGCAAGCTCTGCCTCCTGGGTTCACGCCATTCTCCTGCCTCAGCCTCCTGAGTAGCTGGGACTACAGGCGTTCGCCACCACACCTGGCTAATTTTTTGTATTTTTAGTAGAGACAGGGTTTCACTGTGTTAGCCAGGATGGTCTTGATCTCCTGACCTCGTGATCCGCCCGCCTCGGTCTCCCAAAGTGCTGGGATTACAGGCTGAGCCACTGTGCCTGGCCAAGTATTTTTATTGTTTTCAGCATATGTTATTATTACATAAATATTTATAACAGATCTTTGGTAAGCAGTACCAAAGTTAAATTCATAAAACTCAGAAACTGGAACATGTGGGTTTAGAGTTAAAGGACAGGACAGGCACATTGTAAAAGGAACATCTGAGATATAATAAGCTGTCAGTCATTATTACCCCAATACAGGACAAGCCTTCAAATGTGTAAGAAATGATCTTACTCTTTCAATATCTTGCCTATTTTTAAAATCATAGAGTGAAAAGATCTGAAAACCTAGGTAAAGCAAATAAATGGGAAAAATGTTTGTATCATGTATGAAGACTGACTTACTAACCAATAATGAAAATGACATATCCCTAGAAATGGGCCAAATTCATAAATAAGCACCCACTAGCAAAAAATTACAAATGGCCTTTAAGTCTGTGAGAATACTTAATTTTATTCATAATTAAAGGAATTTAAAATGAGACACCATATTTCACTCATCAGATTAGCAAAGACAAAACGACTTGGCAAAAGCATGGAAAAATCAGCATTATTGCTGGGAATGGAAATCATTCAACTTCTCTAACAATTGTTATTAAAAGTGAAAATGCAGGCCCAGGTGTGGTGGCTGATGCCTTTAATTCCAGCACTTTGGGAGGTGAGGTGGGCAGATCACTTCAGGTCAGGAGTTCGAGACCAGTCTGGCCAACATGGTGAAACCCCGCCTCTACTAAAAATACAAAAATTAGCTGGTTGTGGTAGAGTGTGTCTGTAATCCCAGCTACTTGGGAGGCTGAGGCAGGAGAATCACTTGAACCTAGGAGGCAGAGGTTGCGGTGAGCTGAGATTTTGCCACTGTACTCCAGCCTGGGCAACACAGTGAGACTCCATCTCAAAAAAAAAAAGTGAAAATGCACATGCCTTCTTATTCCAGTAGTTCCATTTCCAGGAATATGTGCAAAGGTATGTGTAAAAGAACATTCATTGCAGGCATTTTTGTGGCAGAGGGCAGCAAAAGGCTGGAAACCACCTGCCTATCCATCAGTGGGAAATTAGTTAAATATAATATATCTACACAATAAATTACTGTGTAGCCAGTAAAAAGAATTAAGTAGAGCTATACTTATTAATATGTTAAAAATAAAGTGGAGGCCAGGCATGGTGGCTTCATGCCTATAATCCCAGCACTTTGAGAGGCTAAGGTGGGAGGATCACTTGAGCCCAGGAGTCTGAAAGCAACCTGGGCAATGCAGGGAGACCCAATTGCTACAGAAAATTAAAAAGTTAGCCAGGTGTGGCGGTATCTGCCTGTGGTCCCAACTACTCAGGGTGCTGAGGTGGGAGGATCCCTTGAGCCTGGGAGGTCGAGGCTGCGGTGAGCTGTGTTTGTGCCACTGCACTCCAACCTGTGGACTAGACTATATTCCACTTTTGGGATATGTATTGAGCATCAGTGCCAGGCTTTGTAGGCACTGGGCATAAAGCAGTGACCAAAGTAGACACTACTCCCGATCCTCTATGAGCTTGTATTTCAGAGGAGGAGTTTCACATATGCCTGTATCTACACAAAAATACATCTGGAAGAATATGCAGTCATCTGATGACATTAAGCGTTCCTGGGAAGGAGGCCTCAGGGTCAAGGATGAGAAGATTTATTTTCGTTCTAACATTTTGTACCATTTGAAAGTTTTATAGTGCATGTATTAATTTTTCCAAAATTAAATTTTTAAATTACAAAAATTGAGTGTAGCAGAACAGAGAAGAAAATTTTTAAAGCAGGCAGGGAGGATGGGCAGCCTGACAGACAGGCTGCACCTTGCATCCTTTGTTAGGTTCTTGCTCCACGTTGCTGCTTGAAGGCTATACAGAAAGAATCTTTGCCTCCTTACCCTATTTAGAGCCACTGCTAACTCCACCTGTTTGAAATAGTAAAGATTAATTTTCCACAATGAGATATTGGCATTGCTCCCAAATATTTCATGGAAGTGGCATGCCTTCTTTGAGGCAGTTTTATTAGTCATTAAGAGTTCTTTCCAGCAAAATCGGGGCATCAGTGCCCCACATTGGATTGGCAGGTGGTGGGGGGTTGTCAGTGCTTCGAGTCAGACCCAGTCAGGCTTAAAACTCCTAAAAAGACAATTTCCAGATAACTTCAGCTTTATTTTTAATGCTTTTTGCCAATAATTTGATCCCATCAGAACAGCTCCATGGTACCATAATTTATATATCCTGTTTTTATTTGTATAGGAACCTGGGAGAAAGAGAAGGAAAATTGAAAATAAATTAAGTCAAATGCAATACTTGTGCTAAAAATCTGTCAAAAGTTAAGGCCACTTCTAGGCAAAATGATGGAGGAAGAGTGCCTTTCAGTCTCTTTCTCATTTTCAAAGTTTTCCCTTCTGTCTTGTGTTGTGTCTTCAGATGCCTCCACATTCTGCCTATCACTAGAGCACCCACTCTCCTATCTGCCTAGAGCACACATATCTGTCATCATCAGGTGCTCATCCAGGGTTCACCACCCTGAGGCAAAGGACCACTTAGCTTATCCTTTTCATAAAGTAATTTATGCTTAGATATGAATGACTACCCAGGCTGCCTAAGCTCTTAATAAATCAGAAACTTGCTGCAGAGATATAGAAGTTCGACATGAAACAAGTTCATATTCAATTGGAGGTATCTCTAACAAACATTAAAGTGAATAATCTCACTAGTAATACCACCAGCACCCTCATTTTACAGGAAAGGAAACTGAGGCCCAAAAAAGTGTGTTAATTGGACCATAGTTAATACTGGCCTTGCCTGCATTGCAATACCTTGGATTACATTATTTTAAAATATCCTTGTCTCATGTCACAGAACAACCCTGCATGTCTTGAAATGCATGTGACTTGTTAGTGCTTAAATAACAATATATAACAAGAAAAAGAGGTAACTGGCAATATATCCTTTTTTTTTTTTTTTTTTTTTTTTTTTGTGATGGAGTCTTACTCTGTCGCCCAACTGGAGTGCAGCGGTGTGATTGATTTTGGCTCACTGCAGCCTCTCCCTCCCGGGTTCAAGCTACTCTCCTGCCTCAGCCTCTGAGTAGCTGGGATTACAGGCACACGCCACCACGCCTGGCTAATTTTTGTTTTTTTAGTAGAGACGGGGTTTCACCATGTTGGCCAGGCAGGTCTTGAACTCCTGGTGGCTTATACCACTGCGCCTGGCCAATATTTTCTGTTTATAGCAAAATTGTTCAAAAACTGCCTATGTACCTACGATATTTTTTCTTAAGAAATTTATGTTTTGGGCTGGGCACAGTGGCGTATACCTGTAATCCTAGCACTTTGGGAGGCTGAGGTGGGTGGATCACCTGAGGCCAGGAGTTCAAGACCAGCCTGCCAACATAGTGAAACCCCATATCTACTAAAAATACAAAAAATAGCTGGGCGTGGTGCTGCCTGCCTGTAAGTCCCAGCTACTTGGGAGGCTGAGACATGAGAATCACTTGAACTCAGGAGGTGGAGGTTGCAGTGAACCAAGATCGTGCCACTGCACTACAGCCTGGGCAACAGAGCAGATTCTGTCTCAAAAAAAAAAAAAAAAAAGAAAGAAATTTGAATTTGTGTTTTGAATTTGCCTTGAATTATTGTCAGAAGTAATTGTTTTTCTGTCATAAGGAGATTATAACTGGAAAAAATAGGAATGGGGTTTATAAAACGACCATTGACTCAATCTCTAGCTCTTCTACTCTAAAGTCAGGTAATATGTGGTGCATTAGGTTAGGACTTTTATGTTAGTCATATGATGCATGGGTAGATCTTTCTATGTTTTCTCTTTGAAAACTACTAATCTGCTACTCCTTTTGGCTATAACTCACAAACTCTTTTCTCTTCAGATTATATAAAGACTTTAGCTAGAATGCTTCACTTTTTTATTAAAGAAATTGCTGTTTCCTTCCAAGGACAAACATTTTAAAAATAAATGATATGGGTCATTCATTTGACACATTGGACTGTCTGTAGTAGATCAGGCACTGTGTGGGACACTGGCAATATACTGATGACACAAGCTACCCACTGCCCCTTAGCAAGTCATTTCTGCAGGTCATTTTTATGACATACTTATCTGAAATAGCCCATTGTGTATTAAAATCACCTGTGACATCATGGCCCAGCACGGTGGCTCACGCCTATAATCCCAGCACTTTGGGAGGCCAAGGCGGGTGGATCATTTGAGGTCAAGAGTTTGAGACCAGCCTGGCCAACATGGTGAATCCCCATCTCTACTAATAAAGTACAAAAAATTAGCCAGGAATGGTGGCAGATGCCTGTAATCCCAGCTACTCGGGAGGCTGAGGCAGGAGAATTGCTTGAACCTGGGAGGCAGAGGTTACAGTGAGCCGAGATCGCGCCATTGCACTCTAGCCTGGGTGACAGAGGAATTTTCTTGTCAAAAAAAAAAATCTGTGACATCAGCTAATAGGTTAACTTAATTAAAGAGAGCAATTCTAGCCAGGCACAATGGCTCACATCTGTAAGCCTAGCACTTAGGGAAGCCAAAGCAAGCAGATCACCTGAGGTCAGGAGTTCAAGACCAGCCTGGCCAACATGGCGAAACCCTGTCTCTACTAATAATACAATGCCTGGTGTGCACCTGTAATCCCAGCTACTCAGGAGGCTGAGGTAGGACAATGGCTTGAACCCAGGAGGCAGAGGCTATAGTAAGCAGAGATTGCGCTACTGCACTCTAGCCTGGGAAACAGAGTGAGACTCCATCTCAAAAAAAACAAATAGATAAAAATAAAAAGAGATATTCAACTTAATGCTTAAAAATGTATACAATTTCTTTGTAAAATTGTTACTGAATTTTTCTTTTATTTTTAATTTTTTTTTTTTTTAATAGAGACAGGGTCTCACTATGTTGCCCAGGTTGGTCTCAAACTCCTGGGCTCAAGTGATCCTCCTGTCTCAGTCTCCCAGAGTGCTGGAATTACACGTGTGAGCTACCATGCCCAGCCTGTTACTGGATTTTTCTATCATTGCACTTATTTTTTAACGTCTATAAAAAATTTGAAAGACAAATATATTGATACTTATGTTTTATTTATGCTTCCAAATAACTACACAAAATCATTTTCTAAAAGATTACTCATCTATGCTTTGAAATTTTTCTGCCTATGCATTTCTTCTCTGTGCCACCTCTCTTCTGTATTGATGATAGGAGAGTACAGTTGTCTCTCAGTACCTATTAGAGATTGGTTCCAAGACCACCTCATGGATTCCAAAATCCACAGAAGCTCAAGTCCCTAATATAAAATGGCATCACATTTGCATATAACCTCTGCACATCTTCCAGTGTACTTTAAATCATCTCTAGATTACTTATAATATCTAATACAATGTAAATGGATTGGTTAGGGAATAATGACAAGAAAAAACTCCGTACATGTTTATGACACACACAACTATCCTTTTTTGTATGAATATTTTCAAGCCGAGACTGGTTGAATCCACAGATGCAGAACCCACAGATATGGAGGGTCATATCCATGTATTAATAAAAATTTATGATTTGTACTTAATCAAGAAATAGTGGTCCCATAGGTCCTTTGAATTGACTTGGTTCAGAAACATGTGGAAAAAATATTCCTAAAAAGTATTTATAAAAAAAGAGAAAAAAGCAAAAATGAAAACTCTTGAAAAGCTGAAAGAAGTTATAAAAGATGAGAAAAAATTAAAAATTGTGAATATTCAGATAGCAATTCTTATCAACATGAAATAATGTAATATGGTTATGGCAGTTCATGAGTAGATATTTGAACCATATCTTTAGGTAAGTTAAACTGTTAAAATTTATACCCTTAGCAGAAGGCAAGATTCCACCTGATGCTACATTGATTTTTGAGATTGAACTTTATGCTGTGACCAAAGGACCACGGAGCATTGAGACATTTAAACAGATAGACACGGACAATGACAGGCAACTCTCTAAAGCCGAGGTAATTCAAACCAGTTTCATGTGTATAGTCTAATTTTTTTATCTCAGTTTAAATACATCTGTTTTACAACTATTACTTTTTAGGTCTAGCTAGCATGGGCTCTGATCACTGCTTTTATAGAGCTGGTCACTAAAAAATAATCTAAGCGCTTAGAAAAAGCTCTAAGCTTTTTCAGTATAAACCTTGTGAGTCATCCTCTTCAATTGCCTTTCTCCCTACAAGAGAGTCATTAAAATCCCAAATTATTCGTCTCTACAGTGCTCTTCCAGTTTCTAGACTACACTAGCATATCTCTTTTTCAGGCAGCACTGTAAGAATTTGCAACAGGGCAAATAATTCACGCCTCATAGGATTATGAAAAGAGCTAGCAAGGATCTGAATTGAGTGGGCTAGAAAGTTGGTAAACAGGAGCCAGGAGTTCAGCCAGCTAGCTTCTGTATCTCAGTCTTGTAATAAAGATCTTGTAATAATAATGATAATTGGGCTGGGCATGTGGCTCATGCCTATAATCTTAACACTTTGGGAGGCCGAGGTGGGAGGATTGCTTGAGCCCAGGAGTTCAAGACCAGCCTGGGCAACATAGGGAGACCCGTCTCTACAAAAAATTTAATAAATTAGCCAGGCGTGGTGGTTCGTACCTGTGGTCCCAGCTAGGAGGCTGAGGTAGGAGGATCGCTTGGGCCCAGGAGGTTGAGGCTGCAGTGAGCTGTGATCGTGCCACTGCACTCCAGCCTGGAAGATAGACTGAGACCTTGTCTCCAGGAAAAAAAAAAAAAAAAAGATAATATTAGGTAACATTTATTTTGTACTTTTAGTACCAGGTACTATTTATAAGCACATAAGTATGTGAACTTATCTAATCTTCATGATAGTTTATGGGGCAGACACTATTGTCATCATCTCCACTTTTAGATGGGGAAAATAATAATCAGGTTAACTAGCCAAAAATTACACAGTAGTAAGGGGCAAAACCTGGGCAATCTGGCTTCATGAGTCTTCTTACAGTTTAATTTTTCTTAGAGACAGGGTCTTGCTCTGTTGCCCATGCCAGAGTGGAGTGATCATAGCTCACTGCACCCTTGAATCCCTGGACTCAAGTGATACCCCAGCATGCCACCACACCCAGCTAATTTTTTTTGTTTAAGAGATGGAGTCTCACTACATTGCCCAGGCTAGTCTTGAACTCCTGGCCTCAAGTGATTCTCCTTCAGCCTCCCAAAGTGCTGGGATTACAGGCATGAGCCACCATGCCCGGCCCACTACTGTATTTTTAACTTTGGATCTAGACTGCTTCTTTTAGAGAAAATCATGAATGTTTCAAGTCTAATACTATTTATTGAAGTCTACTGTTTTACTTAGTCCCACTGATCATACTCCTGCTTAAAATTAGTAAACCAGCTGTCTCCCCTCTTAACTAGTTAGGAGACATTTAAAAATGCATAACTCTACCACATAACTGAGTAGTAAAAGGTAACTAGGTTGATTTCAAGTGATAAAAATAAGTCTTTTTCTCTGTTGCTTTTTCATCTCCCTCTCCAATCCTTTCCCCACCCAGTTCAACTTCTTATACCTGGATATTAGTAATGACTTTCCCTTCAAGCATCTTGGTTGGCCAACAGTGGAAGAAGGAGAAGGGAACATGTCCTGTTCTTAAGAAGAAGGGCAGTTACAGGGGTGGCAAATGGTTCCCAAAGTGTACTTCTCCATTGACTCCTTATCACCTCTCTATTGACTCCTTATCACCCTTTTTTAGAGTGAATAGCAGCTGCAGATGAATTTGCATAGTACCCAAGGGCTCAGCCTATGCACACAGACCACTCATTATCACAGGCACACCAAGAGCCATGTTCTGCAGTATGACTACTCTACAGTAAGACATTAGACAATCTTAAATTCTTTTCTGGAAAATAAAAATAGAGAAAATTCAAAATACTAATCTACTTAGCTACAATTTCCCTGGATGTCTTTGTGATATCAGCTGCTTTATCGCCAGATGGACGAGAGTGATTTTCACTAACTTGAATAACAATAGCTATCTTTTATTGATGGCCATAATCATTATTCTAATCCTTGCATCAATCCTACAATATAGATACTTATTTACCTCCTTTTACAGATGACAAAACTGAGGTTCAGAGAGGTTAATTTGCACACGACCACACAGCAAATCCAAGGCAAAGCCTGAATTAGAAACATGAACTAAAAAAAAAAAAAAAAACCACTTTATTCATTGTCAGAAAGATTAAGTAAACTATTTCATCAGTTTCATCTTTAAAAAAGAGAAAGAAAAGTATTTATTTAGTATTAAAGGGGAAGGATGGGGGAAATACAGTGTTTTATTAAATTAAAAAGTGGAAATAGTGTGGAACCCATTACTAGCAAAATTAAGGTCATGTTCTTACCCACTGTCTTTCTGTACCTCTGTACTATAGTGTACTGGAAAAGGAGTTGAGTTTAAGCATCAGCAATATTGGTTGTGTAAAAATAAATGAACTTACTTAGAAACTCAGAAATATTTGAAGCTATTAAAAATTGTTTACACCTACATAGGATTGCTAAGCTTTGGCTGGAAGAAAAAAATGCGTCTCCCTCATGTAGGACCAAAGTCCCATTTGAGAACAGTTGATGTATCCTTCATTAAGGTCCACTGATTGCTCTAAAATAAAGTCAACTTGCAATGGGTTGACCGTAGGATATGTATTGCGAAAAACCTCTCAAACTCTAGCTTTCAAAAATACTCTTGCCTCTTTAATGCCAGCCTTACTGAACATTACCTCCAGATGATTGTGCGTTGCTTTCTTTAGTTATTATAAGGATTAGTGCTTTCCAATGGAAATATAATTTGAGTTACACATATAATTTTAAAATTTTTATAGTCACATCTTAAAAAGTAAAAAGATATAGGTGAAATTAATTTTAATGTTATATCTTCACTCAATATATCTAAAATATTGCCATTTCTATATGAGATCAATATAAAAGTTATCAATTAGATATACTTTTTGAAGCCTTCAAGATCTGTTATATATTTTACATTTGTAGTAACATATCTCATTTTGATCTAGCCATGTTTCAAGTGCTCATTAGTCACATGTGGCTAGTGGCTACTATATTGGACAATACTTTTAATGTGTGTTTGCATAGAGAAATTTTATATAATTAGTGAATACTTCAGGATTCCTTTCTTTATTTGACATTATTAAAGAGATTATTATAGTTATGTAGATTTGGAAGAGAGCAATAGAAGCCTAGAAAAACTTAAAATACTAAATTTTATTTCAAAACCTATGGTTATATTTTATTGATTATATAACATATTCATTAGTTTTAGAGATTATAGAAATGCCAATTTGGGTTTTTTTCACTAATGGCAGTCATGCATGATTTTCCTTTGATAATATGAACAGCATGGATTATTAGAAAGCATTTAGTTTCAACAAAGTTCAATTTAAATATTAATCTTTGAGTATGTACCACTAACCATCTATCATCTTAGGGAAAACTAATTTGAAGACCTGTTTCTCTCCAAAACATTGCTTCAAAGAGTAAGAAAAATAAAACCTCAAATAGTGTTTCAAACTGTTGTGTCATTTACTATAAGTAATCTTGGACATGAATTTCATTATTATAAATATTCCTCAAAGTTACTGGAAATTTACTGTGATGGCTTTTAATTAAAGGAATGTTATTTTGGCCTTCCAGATAAACCTCTATTTGCAAAGGGAATTTGAAAAAGATGAGAAGCCACGTGACAAGTCATATCAGGATGCAGTTTTAGAAGATATTTTTAAGAAGAATGACCATGATGGTGATGGCTTCATTTCTCCCAAGGAATACAATGTATACCAACACGATGAACTATAGCATATTTGTATTTCTACTTTTTTTTTTTTTTAGCTATTTACTGTACTTTATATATAAAACAAAGTCACTTTTCTTCAAGTTGTATTTTCTATTTTCCCCTATGAGAAGATATTTGATCTCCCCAATACATTGATTTTGCTATAATAAATGTGAGGCTGTTTTGCAAACTTAACTTGTAGGAATGGTATGATTGTGTTTCCTGTTGCTTTATTCTGTAAACGAGAATTGTAGCACTATGAAACAGACCTCTTGGTCCCAGTGGGCATTTCTTCGCCTTTCAGGATGTAGGAGGACATATACAGTATGTCAAAAACTGCAAGCTTTTCCCAACTTTAACCTTACCAGCATGTTAATATCCAGTTTTTTTATACTTTAAAAGTTAAAGTGCCTCATATTTTTAAAATATCCAATAAGGACCCAGGAATTAGCATTTCACTTGTTTATACATCTTATAACATTATGAAGAGGATATAAAAATCCTAGAACTGAAGAGTCTTCCTTTGGTATATGTGCAGGAAGAAAGTTGTATATCTCTGTTCCACAAAGAACACAACACAGTCTCTATACTTTTTGGTGTAAGCTTCTAGCCTTGGTTATTTTCCAGTGGGGAATGTTTAAAGATATTTGACCAAACCAAAGACTTTACCTCTTATAGCAAGCATAGAGACTGTACTGCCTGGCTTTTGCATTCCTTCAGACATTATTATAAATGTGCAACTCCTCTTCCCTCTTTAAACCTTTATAAGATGTCTGCCACCCCAAGCTTTTGTCTTGATAGTTTTAAATTGATGCCATGAAATTTCTTAGTTTTTGTTCCCTTTTTCTAGTTATCTCTTTCCTTATGTCACCTCATTTCCCATCATTCTTGTCATTAATGATGAATGATCATTACAAATTGGTATGCTGTCAACTTTTGATAAATGTACCAAACAAAGGAGGATATACAGTGCCATGGCAGTTTTGTGTCATGGTCAAGTTATGATATCATATGACTTGAGAATAGTATGTAAGAGATGCTGTAGAAGATCACATTGGTACCAAAGAAAGGGCACGTGTCTATCAGAACATAGAAGATTTTGCATACTGCATGATATGGTTAGGCTTTGTGTCCACACCCAAATCTCATCTTGAATTATAATCCCCATAATTTCCATAATCCCCACATGTCAATGGAGAGACCAGGTGGAGGTAACTGAATCATAGGGGTGGTTTCCCCCATGCTGTTCTCATGCAATCTTTGGTTTTATAAGTGTTTGATAGTTCCTCCTGCATTCATTCTCCCGCCTGCCACCTTGTGAAGAAGGTCCTTGCTTCCCTGCCTTCCACCAAGATTGTAAGTTTCCTGAGGCCTCCCCAGCCATGGGAAACTGTGAGTCAATTTAACCTCTTTCCTTTATCAATTACCCAGTCTAGGGCAGTTCTTTACAGCAGTGTGAAAGTGGACTACTACACTGCATATATAGGAAAGTATGGTCAGACAGTAAATAGCTCTGTTCAAAATAATTGAGTTCCCAACAAGTAAAGTTTTTTCTACCTTCTGAAACTTGCTCTTTCCAAACCATTGTTCATCCTTTAACTTCTTTACACTATCAAAAATTCTATTTAAAAATAGAGGGCTTTCAGATGAGTACATACAAAAACAAGTGTACATAGGGGTAACACAACCATGAGATTAGTAAATAACACATGGCTAGCACATAATTTGACACCTCATAAAACAAGGATCTGTACTATCTTTTCCTTCCTCCCAATATTTCCTCATTTCTATGCTCAATTTTCTAACACTTTCTCACGTGATCATTTACTCTTTCATTGCCTTCCCTCAGAAAAACCTGCTCCGTTGAAGTAAACTAAGTAACTCAATATTCTTTATTTTGGTTTGGAAGCTGTCTCCATTCTCTGTATCCATATTAAGAAGTCACCCTATAATCTAAACTTTGTAATTCTAATTTTTTTGTCCCATTATTTTTCATACAAAGTGCTTTTAAACTTGTTTTTAAAAAATGACAGATAATGCCACATGAATAGGGAGATGATTCATTCTAAAACTTGTATTTACATAATTAAAAATAAATTTCTAGTCATTCTACATACAATACAGTGTACAAGTATTTCATATCGGCATGATTGCCTTCTGCCTTCATATGCATATATGTAGCATTCAGTGCAGTGACTACATTTTGAGTTCTAGAATTTTAACATTTTATTCATTATACAATTATTTTAATAAAGGTAAATAGTAATTTAGGTTGTGTATGAAAAATTCAGATTTCTCAACAGGGTAGATTAAAAAGATCTTTCAGAACTGAATATGTTAAATGTTTTAAACATTTTCAAAGAAACAGATGTGTCTTATCTGTCTTAACTTTACAATGACAGTATTGCGTTTTTTGAAGACGAAACTCGTGAGCATACCCACATCATAGAATGGCAGCCCATTACTACTATCAGTCACCTTGTTAACTGTGTACACAAAACCCCATGTTGAGTTCAGTGTGCTTTTAATTTGATACTGCTATTAAACATTTAGGATTGCATTAAATTATTAACACATTTTTCTCATTTTACCAGACCAAAGGCAATAGTTGAAACACCATAAAGTTGCTACTTGTGCAGTTTTGTCATCCTTACATGTCGAATTGAAAGTTGATTGAAAATAAAATTGGTATTTAGAAAAATATCTTAATTATATAAAAAGTTATCTAGGCCAGGTGCGGTGGCTCACACCTGTAATCCCAGCACTTTGGGAGACCGAGGCAAGTGGATCACAAGGTCAGGAGTTCAAGACCAGCCTGGCCAAGATGGTAAAACCCCATCTCTACTAAAAATACAAAAAATTAGCCAGGGGTGGTGGCAGGCGCCAGTAATCCCAGCTACTCAGGAGGCTGAGGCAGAGAATTGCTTGAACCCAGGAGGCAAAGGTTGCAGTGAGCCAAGATCGTGCCACTGTACTCCAGCCTGGGCAACAAAGCAAGGCTCTGTCTTAAAAAACAAAAAAAAAAGTTATCTAAAATGATAGACTACATCCCAAAAATGATTCTAAAGTGACTGGCAAGATTATGAAAGAACATCTCTATTCTGAATGTTACATGTAAATCTTTTTTGATATAAACAATGTTACTAATTTTCATGACAACTTAAGAAATAGACACTACTGTCATCATCACTACTTTATAGATAGGGAAAATGATACCCAGACAGGTTAATTTCTTTCTGTTTTTCTCATTTTAATTTAACTCATGAAAGCAAACCTAGATAATTTAGGGAAGGTTTGTGGCACAACTGCACCTACAACACCAACATGGTATATTCATTTTTCATTTTATTTCATCCTCTTGTGCCAAATATCAAAACAAGGAACTGCATGAAGTCTCACATACTTCTGACCATCAACAGAACACTGAAAGCACCCATAAACTGTCTCCCTTTTGAAGTTCCCCATTCCACAGAGTATGCACGGCCCTTTGGGAATGTTGTGATTAAGTAAGTTAACTCGAATATGGGTCCCTTCTTTGAGTGAAATATCAGTCATGCTGAGAGGTTTGTCATAGTAGTCAGAAAAAAGATCATCCAAGTAAAGCTGTGAACGAGAAATTACATCCATCACTCTTCTATCTAAAAAGACAAAAACAGAACAGAAATGTGTTAGAAGTGAAAATGAAAAATACATAATGCAAATAGCATTAATAAATATGTGAATCCACTAGTCATGAAATAATTGGCTTTTCTTTTTCCTTTTTTCTGGCTCTATCACCCAAGCTAGAGGGCAGTGGCGCAATCTCCACTTACTACAACCTCCGCCTCTCAGGCTCAAGTGATCCTCCTACCTCAGCCTCTCAAGTAGCGGGGACTACAGATATACACCACCACAACCAACTAATATTTTTTCTTTTGTATTCTTTGTACAGATGGGGTTTTGTCACATTGCCCAAGCTGGGGTGGCTCAACCCTGTAATCCCAGCACTTTGGGAGGCCGAGACGGGCGGATCACGAGGTCAGGAGATCGAGACCATCTTGGCTAACATGGTGAAACCCCGTCTCTACTAAAAAATACAAAAAACTAGCTGGGCGAGGTGGCGGGCGCCTGTAGTCCCAGCTACTCGGGAGGCTGAGGCAGGAGAATGGCGTAAACCCGGGAGGCGGAGCTTGCAGTGAGCTGAGATCCGGCCACTGCACTCCAGCCTGGGCGACAGAGCGAGACTCCATCTCAAAAAAAAAAAAAAAAAAAACAACTTCTGAGCACTAGCAATCTGCCTGCCCTGGCCTCCCAAAGTGTTGGGATTATAGGCATGAGCCACTGTACCAGCCAGGCTTTTAAATTCAAATTTTTCCTTAACAGATGGGATTACTGAATAGAAAACCTCATGCATTAAGCCAGGAAAGAAAAAAAAAGACATTCACAATGGACATACTTCTTTCAAATAGGATATTTCTCAACCTGTACAGCAGTGCAAATGTTGCCGTTTCTTCCCTTTCAAATCCTCCTTTTGACACTGAAGTGACACAAAGGTCTACAAAAAAAATTGTTAGAAGATGTTATAACTTGAATAATTCATGTTTTATTGTTTGATGGGGTGATGAATTCTGGTACAAACCATTCATTGTATTTTTTAAAAAGTTAACTTTTACATACTTTTGGAAAAGGTAACATTCACATGGTACAAAATTCATACAAAAAGGAGATACAGCGACAAATAAGTCTCTGGTCCACCCTGTATCCAGCCACAGTCTTCTACCTCAGGGGCTCATACTCCAGAAATACTCCATATATTTTACAAGCATAAAGAAAGATGTATGTATACATGTATGTGTATAAAATTATTTATGCCCAAATAGTTACATATTATACTCAGCTCTTTAAAAATATCCATTAAAAGTATTATATTCTTATTGGCTTCATAGTATTCTCTTGTAAGGATTCACCATTATTTAGTCTCCTTAAAGTTGTTTCCAATCTCTTGTTATTGAGGACTGAATATACTTGCACTCATATCATTTCATATATGTGTAAATGTATCTGTAGGATAAATTCCTAGAAGTGGAAGTCCAAATTATACATATATTTTAAATTCTTGTGGATACATCAGTCCATTTACATTCCTCCCAACCATCAATAAAACTGTAAAAACTTAAAATTTACTTAATAAGACCTAGTATTTGGAAGCGTAATAGGGTGACTATAGTCAAAACAATGTAATTGTACAGTTTTTTCTCCATCTTAGACTGAGAATTTGTACATTTTTAAATAACTAGAAGAATTTGTACATTTTTAAATAACTAAATAACTAAAAGAGTATAATTGAATTGTTTGTAACACAAAGGATAAATGCTTGAGGGGATGGATACCCCATTTTCCATGATGTGATTATTATTGCACTGTATACCTGTATCAAAATACCTCATGTACTCCATATATAAATAAATATATATATATATCTGCTATATAGCCATAAAAATTAAAAATATTTTTTAAAAAAACAATTTACTTAACATGTAGTTTTGTTTTGTTTCTGGACTCCCTATTCCCTCCTCCTACAAAATTGCAGAAATGAACAAAAACAGGTCTAAAAACATTTGTAAATTACCATGGCTAGGGGACTCCCTTTCCTGATCCTTTGGGCTACACCTGGGCTTGTTCCAGTTGGCCAACAGACCTTAAAGACCTGTGAAATGTAGAGACCTAAAGTGAGCTGCACTTAGGTATTATACAAGGTGACAATTTTGGAGGAAGTATTTTTACCTTTTAAAGTTATTTTTTAGGAAGAGTGCAAGGGGAAGCTTGTTATGATAAGTAAAACTGAAGTAAGAAAAGCTGTCTTTAGATGCCCTGGTTTGGGAATCCTAACACTTCAGGCATCCTACTATCTACCTACTCCTCTGTTTGCCACCACCAAAAACTACCTATAAGAAAGTCATTTATTATCTCCCCATGTAAGCTAAGGAATACTTTGTCAGTAGATGGCATTTTAGCTCTTATTTATAATTTTAAATGGGGTAGTGGAGAGTTTACAACCTTCACCAAGAAGCAGCAGCAGAAAAGTGGAATGGGGAAGCAGGGAAGGGAAGACCTTTCTCAGCTATTTTGCCCAAGCATAAGATTGACAGTGCTGACACCATCTTCTATAATTGTTAGACACGAGAAAAAAAGAGAGAGAGAGAGAGAGAGAGAGAGATCCCATGCCCTGTTGAATGCTCCTTAAAAATATAGTCATTTGTATTTCATGCAGACCCTTAACTCACCAAAGGCACCATCCAGGTATATGAAGAGTTCAAAAACACTGAAAGCTATGGTTGTATGTGCTGGGAAAACAATAGCTTTGTCCCTTCCCTTGGGATTCTGTTCATCCATAAAGTGAAACTGTATTGAATAAATATATAACATTATTAAGTATTATAACAAGTAAGGATAGCTTTTTGGAGAAACAAAACATCTCATAAAATCCTACCAAACAAAACAAAAAATTCCCAAGTAAAGAATTATTCTGCTTGAATTAAACCATTTTTTATAGCAGAGATCCAATTGGTCCAACAGAAACTCCTGGTCTATATTAGAAAATACTTTTGCACTTTTCACTTACTTTGGTATTACAGCCCATGATTAGTGCTACCACAACCATAATGCTCTGGAGTAGAAGCCTTTTTTTTCAACAGGAAATCTTAGAAAGCAGTGCTAGAGTTTAAGTTTTCAGCCTAACCTGTCTACCATTCCAAAGCCCTCCAGAGTTTTAATCCAATCAAGTCATTATTAGGTGTCACTGAATGACAAAGATAAACAATATCATAATTGAGCTGAAAATTAAACACAGATAGTTTTCTAATTCTTTTTATTGTTTCAGAGACAGGCTCTCTCTCTGTCACCCAGTCTGGAGGGCAGTGGCACAATCATAGCTTACTGTAACCTTGAACTCCTGGCCGCTCCTGCATCCTAAGGTGTCCCCGCTAAGTCCTGAGCTCGAACCTGCAAACTGCTGGTTGGACACGGAGCCCACGGTCATCAGCTGAGCCCTTGGCCCTAGGTCCCTAGTTGGTCCCTAGTTGCTGGCCCCAGAGAAGTCTGAAGGCAAAGGGGTGGTTTGGAAAAGAGGCTGCTACATCTTCCCCAGCACAATAGCGGTGGGAGGGCCCACGGCTTTTCAAAGGCTCCCAAATTCTAAAAGACAATGACCCAAACCCCCACAGGCAGCCCCCTGCCTCAGGACTATAGGCGTGTGCCACCACACCCAGCTAATTCTTTTATTTTTTGTAGAGACAAGGTCTCATTATTTTGCTCAGGTTGGTCTTGAACTCCTGGCCCCAAGCTGTCTTTCTATCTCAGTCTTCGTAAGCACTGGGATTACAGGCATGATCCACTGCACCTTGCAGCTAATATTTTTTTAAGGATTTAACTAACCTTGAATAAAGCATGTATGGCCATTGATAATATTAACTTTGAAAAACTATTTGAATATAAAAATATAAATTCAGCTTTTAAAAATTCAAAGTGTAAAAACTCTATCACTTAAAAAACAACTCAGCTTAAGCATTCAATTTTTATTCCTAAAACAGCACTTAAATAGTAATATGAGGGACTCCATTATGCATGTAATTTCACAAGGATTACTGTTTTTGCATTATGTTACACTTTTTTTTTTTTTGGTTGGGGTTTTTGTCTTGTTTTGTTTTGTTTGAGACGGAGTCTCACTCTGCCACCCAGGTTAGAGTACAGTGGCACAATCTCGGCTCACTGCAACCTCCACCTCCTAGGTTTAAGCGATTCTTGTGCCTCAGCTTCCTGAGTGGCTGGGATTACAGGGGTGCACCACCACACCTGGCTAATTTTTGTATTTTCAGTAGAGATGGGGTTTCTCTATGTTACCCAACTTGATCTCCAACTCCTGACTGCAAGTGATCCGCCCACCTCGGCCTTCCAAAATGCTAGGGTTACAGGCATGAGCCACTGTGCCCAGCCAAAAACTATACCACTTAAAATCAGTTCAACTCACTCAATTTTTATTCTTAAAACAACACTTAAATAGTAATTTGAGGGACTCCAGTATGCATGTAATTTCATAAGGATTACTGTTTTTGCATTATATTACACATGTTTAGAACCCCAACATTTCTCTTTTTTTTCATACTCTAGAATAGACATTGCTGTGCAAAATCCCATACAACTGCAGCTCTTTCATCAGAACATTTGACAAAATACACAAGTCTGACGAGAAATTCAATACTTAAAAAAATTCCCATGGCAACACTTTAGTTAGTAAGATAAGCCCAACGAGTGTGGTTTACCCTCATTGCTTCCCCTCGAATTCCAGCATGCACAGACAGTGAGCACTGTCGTGTGGTTCGGATGCTCTCCATGACCACACACAATACTGCCTTTCTGCTGCTCCTTGACTGACGTATCAAGCTGTGGTCAAAGTTAATTTTTCTAAAATAAAGAAGATACATTCATAAGACTCTGTAACATCTAATTACACATAATCAAGTACATTTTTTGCTGTCACATGTTATTCATTCATAGTTCACCTAATAGTAAATCAAGGCAATCCTAATAGTCAGAAAATATACCCAAAAGAAATGTAATAATTTGTCTCTCCTACCTGTTTTCTTAAAACATGCTTATACACAATGTTTCACTCCGTCTGTTGAAAGTCTTTTGAGGGGGGACTCTATTTGTTGCAGACAGATTCCTCTATTATTTAAATCTAATAATTTAGCAAATGTGTGTAGAGCCAAAGTAATTTTGTGGAACAATTAAGTTTTGTTTAAGCCAAGTGACTTTTTTTTTCTTTTAAGCTGGGCAAATCGTTTTAACGTGTAACAGTAGACCAACTGGGGAGGACAAGACCCCAAGCTCCAGCCTTTCCCCTGATGCCCTGGGACCTGTGTGCCTGGGCCAGTCCCATGCCTGCCCCAAGCCCTGAGGCCCTCAAGTCCCAGAGAAGAGTGGGAAAGAAAGCTGGGTGGTTGCAGCTCAGCTCCAAGAGTTCAGGGAGGAAAAAACAGGGGCTAGTTGAATTTAGCCTTGGAAAAATACATCTCTGGATGCTGATCAATGAACTTCTTCAGAATCTCCTGTTTCTTCTGTTCGTCTGAGGTTTGCAGCCCCATGGACTTCTGTCTCTGGTCATACATCATCCTTTCCACCATGCTGTGAGTCTCACTGTCCAGGTCTGACAGCTTGGAATTCTCAGGGTTAATATTCTTGGTACTGATCTCAAGGTCACTGGACACCAAGCGGCTCCACCACTCCGTCTTATTGATCTTCTCCAGATGCAGAGTCACCACCTTGCCGTCCTCAATGAGCCACGAGCTCTCCTCCACCTTCACTTCATTGTAGAGCTCCCCATAGATGATCGCTGGCTGCCCCTTGAGCTCCATCCGGAGGTGCCACCGCAGCACGTCCACCACCACGTCCTTCCCTTTCAGCCGGAAGTTCACACGGAAAGGGACTGCCAGGTCCAGCTCCGACAGGGTCTGGGTCCAGCGGTAATTGGGCAGGTCTGCCCTGTTGCCTAGGTTGGGCTTCAGTTTTCCTTTCTCCTTCTCTCTTCCTCCTCCTCATCTTCCTCAGTCTCCTGCTTTCCTGGGGAATCAAGGCTGCCGTTCTTGAGCTGGGCCTCATGATTCTCTGCATCCTTTTTCTGGTCAATCTCTAGCTGCAGCCTCTCTGTGTCTTCGTCAGTTAGCTCCTTGATCTGGGGCCCTGAGGTCTCTGACTTAAACCAAGTGATTTTTGATATCTATCCTAATTCAAAGTTTGGATATACCACTAATGTATTTCAAATACACCTAGCAAATTACACTAGTAAAATACAACCTCAATGTTTTAAGCATTCTTTGTAATGAAGTTTATATAGCTAAAGTATTTAATGAAAACACTGAAATATATTAGGATTATTATACTGACCGTGTAGTAATTTCTTTGAGTAGTGTTGATACTTCCACTTCATGTTTGGTTACTATACCAAACGAAGCTTTCACTGCAATGGAATCTGATCCAGCAACATTAATCCCAACGTCATTTACAATATGGTTACCTCGCCTTCCATAGAGTGAAACATCGGATTCATCTTCATAATTCAGTAATTGATAAGATGAAATACCTTTACAAGAAGAAACGTAGTATTTTTAAAATGTCTTTAATTTATCTTATGTAGATTATATATAGTAACACGTTAATTTACAATTGAAGACTCAATTATCCAAATGTTAGAGAAAGGCAACATTACTCACCAAGATTTAAAGTAGTAATTCAATTAATCTTACAACAAAAAGAAACACATAGCCAGAATTCTTAAAAGGAACTCAAATTTTCTATTCAGCCAACAGAACTTCTTAAGCATCAAGATCCACTGGGCAATTCAAATAAAAAATAAGCGTTTATAAGCAGTAACTCATTAAAATATCAGCTTATTAAATAATCTACCCTTTAAATACATTTCAGTTTACCAATTGTAATAATTGCATTGTAAAAAATAAATACAAATTACTTTCATCTCATTTGACCATATAAGATAGGTAAGCCCAAATAATACCCCATTTTATAGATGAAGAAATATGTCATAGTCTAAGTTGATCTGATTAAAACAATTTATAAAATAATTGATAGATTTGAAAATTATTTGACCAATAAGAGATTTGATATTATACAAACTTTTGGCATTGTTAATCTTAATAACATTATTATACTACCATCATAATAAAAGTTGCTTTAATCATGGAAAATGTGTATTACTAATGTAAGTAGCATATATGACCTATGTTTAGGTTACCAATAATACAGACGAATGAGTTGGCCCTCCCAAACATTTAAACTTACCAGCTGAAATTTCTCTGTCTCCTAGGAGAATATCTTTCAGTGTAAAAGGTGTTGAAGTAAATTTATATCTAGGAAACAGAAAGCATCGCTTCTTTTTTACCACCAGACTTAGAGGTTGATATTTGTCAGCTTCACTGAGGCTTGGAACAGGAACTAATCTCCCTCCATCTCCAACTTGCTTGACAAAGCTCTTGGTAGCAGCAGCAAACATACTAAAATCAAAATGTCATCAACTGCAACCCCCAGATAAATCCATTTTTAAAGACGAAAATCAGGCACAAAATTAAGCACTGCTTGTTTTTAAATATAATTATACATCTTAAAAATACAAAGCATGGTTTCACCAAGTAGTTTACCACTGTATAATTCACTGCCTCCGCTCATGTGCTCAGGTAATGAATAATAGATCAACGGTGTAAAACGATATGCTAAGAGCATGTTTAATTTGGAATGGCAGGCTATAGCACTAAAATATACACAGAAAACTAATAACGTAAAAATATGACCAATGTCTATGATAAGGATCACAGTAGATAGCGATTTGCCACTGGCAATGGGCCAATTTTAAGGGAAGTATATAGCGCTGTGGGAAGCAATGCAATTTAGGCACTAACAATAGTCCCGGATACAATCTACAGTGGACCTAGTCCAAAGGGAATTCCTTCACAAGTCCACACTGGACTTTTGGCAACACGAAAGTGCTGTTTTGAATCCTCATGGCATACAGTTCACTGATAGAGCATTTCATTCATTTTCCATCTTACATGTTTACAAAACTGTGTTTAATATTAAATATGAATTCACAGATATAAACAATTACATGCAGATCTTTATAAAAAAATAAAGCCACATTACATGTAAGTAACTATATAAACTATTACCTAGTGGTTTCTTACTCTGAAGTTGGACACACAGACTCTATCCCTTTGAAATGGAGTCCTGCTGCATCTTTTTGTTTCATTATTATCCCAGCTATTGGGATAGTAATAAGAGCTATCTATATAAAGTTCTGGCCTGTTTTTAAGTGATTTTGTGGCTAAAAATGAACTTTACCTGAGTGCTGAAATGTTTTGGCATAGGTGTTATGCGGAGTTCATATATTTTGAAATAGTGACTATGTAGCCCTTCCAATAAGATATCCATTAAAACAGTGATGGATAGTAATCTATATACATACATATATAGATGGAGAAAAAGAGAGAATAGGCTCTAATTAAAGCATCAAATGATATAATTTGATTAGATTCTGAACATCTTTCACTTGCTTTCAGGCATCCAGGGCTCACATGCTAACAAAATAACAAACCACCTTTTTTTTTTTTTTTTTTTTGAGATGGAGTCTGACTCTGTCGCCCAGGCTGGAGCGAAGTGGCGCTATCTCGGCTCACTGCAACATCCGCCTCCCAGGTTCAAGCGATTCTCCTGCCTCAGCCTCCCGAGTAGCTGGAATTACAGGCGCCTGCCACCACGCCCGGCTAATTTTTGTATTTTTAGTAGAGACAGGGTTTCACCATGTTGTCCAGGCTGGTCTCGAACTCCTGAGCTCAGGCGATCCGCCCGCCTCGGCCTCCCGAAGTGCTGGGAATACAGGCGTGAGCCACCGCGCCCGGCCATAAATCATTTTTAATAATATCCTTTCGTAGGAACAGCATCGTGCAAAGCAATCTTCCATAACACCGCGTAAGCACAGGACGGCATTTCAGCTAGTGCCTAGCAAGCCCCTGGAGAAACGACACGACATCCAATGGCCCACCAAAGGTGCTGCATCCCAGGCAAACGCCATTACAATCGACTACACAGGTCCCCAGAAAGGCCTTCGTTTACTCCTAACGTTTTGCTGGGATGCACTGACCCAGCGTTCCATCTCGCGACGAAAGCCCAGAAGACAAAGGAGCCCGCCTGGCGGGAAAGGAGGGGGTGTTTGGACGTCCTCGAGTGTTCCTAAACACCGGGCTCGGGGACCCGAAGAGCCCACCGCAGCGTACATATCCGGGGTCTCAAGCTTCAGAACCAGGCCCGGGAGACTCCCTGGAATTCTGCCTTCCGAATTTTCAAATCTTTTTCTTAAAGTGACACAGCCCCCAATCCGTCCTCCCCTCAAAGGGTTAACTTCAGGCCTCAACGACCCTAGACCCACGCCGGACAATCCCTCTAATCCCTCTCTTCGGGAAAGAAACGGCCTCCTCCTAAGGACAAAGAACTACGGCCTGAGGGCCAGTTACTGCAGGCTGGTCAGGGCCGGCAGAGGCGGGCGCTGAGAAGCCCCGGGAGCCCAATGCCTGTGCCCAGGCGGGAGCGGGGCGGAGACTGGCGGGAAGGAGGCGGACCCTGGAGGGGATAGAGGCGGGGCTGGGCCGGGACCGAGGCCCGCAGAGGGGCAGCGAGGGGGCGTAGCCGGAGCTACGGCACCAAGGCTCCGCCCCCGCCCTTCCCGCCCCCTCGCTAGAGGAACGCAAGCAGGAGGAGGGGGAGTCGGAGGCGGCCGCGGCGCTGGAGCTCCTCCTGGGGACCAGCGACCCGGGGAGCTAGCACGTCGCTCCGCACCGCTCTTCCTCCACCCGCTGAGCCGTCCCTTCTCGCCATGTCCCAGAGCAGGCACCGCGCCGAGGCCCCGCCGCTGGAGCGCGAGGACAGTGGGACCTTCAGGTCAGCGTGCGGGCAGTCGGGGCCCCAGGGCCGGGAGCGTTGGGCGGCGAGACCGGGGCGCGGGGAGCCGGCCCTCCAGAGGCATTCTGGGTAAAGCCCTGCCTGGCGCCCACGCCTCCGCGGCTGTGGGCGCTCGGCCCCGCCCTCTCGGTTGCGAGGGTTGGGGTCTGCGGCCGGGCCCCGCCCCTCTCGTGGCCCCAGGCGACGCGCGGGGCGACGGAGGCGGCGCGCGGTCGCCGCTCCCGGGAAGGGATCGTCAGGTTTGTCCTGAGAGGCTGCGGCGCTGCTACCAGCCCTGTTCTGTTGAGACTGTCTCCTACCCGCATTCAAGTTCTCTCTTTAAAGACCTCGTTCACCCCGCCTGCCCCTGCGGGGTGACTGCCGCATTGGGACCGGAAGACAGGTGCGCCCCAGCCTCTCCAGCTCTGGCCCTGGCCTCCGGGAAACTCCGCGCCTCCCTCGTCACCGTCGGTGGCGGTCAAAACTGGCCTCTGTACGCTTCTGCTTCAGTCTCCAATTTGGCATGCAAAGCACACCTTTTTCTGGTTTTTGCAGTTTGGGGAAGATGATAACAGCTAAGCCAGGGAAAACACCGATTCAGGTATTACACGAATACGGCATGAAGACCAAGAACATCCCAGTTTATGAATGTGAAAGATCTGATGTGCAAATACATGTGCCCACATTCACCTTCAGAGTAACCGTTGGTGACATAACCTGCACAGGTCTGTATACACAGTTAACCTGGATGACCGAGTGGGTTGGCAGTCAATACTTGGTGTTGCTTTTCAGTTCGGAAAAGTGCTCTTTTTGCCAGACAGCTGTGAGGAACAGGTTCTGAAACTGAGACCTCTCATCTCAGATCGTTAAGGCTTTTCAGCTTCATCTGATTCTCTTCCTAATTTTCTCTTCCCCAGATACCAAAGAAGCTCAGAAACTAAAAAGTTACCCAGCCATCCTGCACGACTCTTTTCATACCCCATGATCCTCCTAGGGTTCTTCTAAGAATTAGAGGGAAGCAGGAAAGGTTCTTGGAGCAATCATAGCTGGGTGCCTAGGTACTGTGAAGTTTCATAGATTATAGCAGATACCAGCAGGCATGACCCTAGAATTTTCTGCGCGTCTCTCCTCTCTTTATGGACTCATTTGGCACTTTAGGTCCATTGTACCACTTTTGATTCTGTATCCAAACAAAATGAGGAAGGGGAGAAGGTCCTCATACATTATATTGCATAATAACTTCTAGTTTTTGAAATGTAACAGATATTTTGTATATTATCCACTTTTTAAACAAGAAGAAACAGGTTCAGAGAGATAAGTAACATGCCTGTAGCAATGAAGTCACATAGCAATGAAATTTTAAAGTTCATGCTTTCTTTTGGTCTGTGAGCTTGAGCAAATGATAACTAAAGTTGCTCATTTGTAAATGTGGACATTATTTTTCTTATGTATCTATTTAATTGCAAACACAAAACATTGGATGCTAAATTTAATTTGGAAGGATGCCAAGAAAAAAATTTAGTAGGAAGGCTCAAGTTCTGCCATCTGGTAAATCTGACGGCAGCATTTGTTTGTGTCCCTGGAAGTTTGGAGTCCTTTATTTTAATTGACGCCACTTTAAGAAAAGTTTAAAACTTT